ACAGAAAGTTCAGTACTGTATGATTTCACTTATACGTGGAATTAAAAAGAACTCCCAAACGAAGAAACGAAACAAAACAGAAACCCACTTATAGATAGAATAAATTGATGATTGCCAGAGGGGTGGGGGGTGGGGGTAGGAGGATGGGTGAAAAGGTGAAGGGGATTAAGAGGCACAGAATTCCAGTTATAAAGTAAATTAATCACGGGGATAAAATGAAGAGCACAGGGAATAGAGTCAGTAATATAATGACTTTTATGGTGACAGGTGATAACTAGACTTATGGTGATCACATCAAAAGGATTATAAATGTAGAATCACTATGTTGTACACCTGAAACTAATATAATATTGTATATCCACTGTATGTTTAAAAAATACTCTGAGGTATCATGGAGGTGGCTCCTACACGAAGCGATCAGGGCTGAAGGAATGTGGGGAAAAGGTTTAATTACTACATCTTAGAAACTTAAAAGGAAGGGCTCCACGGAACTGAAGCCGACCTGTGATGGCACAACGGACAGGCTGTCCTTAGCGTGAGGGGTGAGGGTGGTGAAGCCAGCTCTGCGAGTGTTAGAAAAACTGCCAGCTGGGTCCAGCTGCTGCTGGAGGAAGGCGCTGCTGTGGCTGCTGACGTGTTGAAGGGTTAGGACAGCAGCCTACCCTAGTGCTTGAGTGTCTTCGCATGTTTTTGCTAGCAATACCAAGAATACAGGCCCCAACTCTCCTCACCCAGATCGTCAGGGTTATGCTCGCAAGGATGAGTTAATGTCATCAAATAGGCTTACCTTCACTTATAAAAGAGATTCTCCAAGCTCGGTGTGCCTCTCCTGTAACACAGCCCACTGTGTGTGCAGGAATCCATAATGGCCCTTTGGATCATCCCTGTGGGATTTAGGTGGGGAGTGGGGCTGAGGCATGTCCAATGAGTGTAAATGAACTTGAAGCTTTGGCGGCTACTTTGCCATGAATAATATCGTTTTTATCTCAGACTCAGTGGGCTTCAGCCTTCTGCAAATATTCATGAATTGTGGCAGGCTAACTTGTTAGCTTGTAAGTGGAATAAAATCTTAGATTTTATCATGAGTTTTGAAATATTGTTTGCAGGCTAATTTTGAGTGGGAGGTGTGTGTGAATGTGTTCCTACATCTGTGTTAACCTGCAGTTTTGCAGTAACCTTCACTTGGGCCCAAGGAATACCTGTCCAGCCTTTAAGGATGCCCTTGTTCATGGGAATAATGAAAATTCATGCAGGGTGCAGGATAGAGAGTCAAAGAGGGAAATTCAGAAAAGTTGAGAGAATAAAATAGAGTGAGAGGTTTCAAAGAATGTTTAGTAGGAGTCGCATGTGAGTTTAATGACATAAATGATAGAATGGATAGAGAATATTTGAAAAGATAGGGAGGAAGGAAATATTAAAAGCTACCAGAGAGAAAGGGCTGACTACTTACAAAAGAATGACATCTGACAGCAGAGTTTCAGTAACAGTAGGTGCCAGAGCCATTGGAGCAATATACTGGGTCGTCAGAAAAGTCATGATGTATTTTTTTTATGTTTTTCGTTGCAAAAATGTGTCATGACTTTTCCGACAACCCAATATTTAACCTGCTGACATAAAGTACCTGCCAACCCAGATTATGTTAGCCAGGTTGTCATTCAAGAGGGAGGATGTAAGATATAGAACAAAGAGGTGTGCTAATTTACAAATAAATTAGTAAAATGTTTTGAGGAATTTAATTGTCGACTGTAAAAATTAAGAATAAATAGTGTAATTATTTAATCTTAACATGTCTATGTCCTTGTATGTGTCTGCCTACAGGGGTGCTTACGTTTTGTAGGCATTTGGTGATTGTGATATCATGAACTCGAGTCCATGTGGTTTGGACCCACATACTGTGCAGCAGGAGGCAGTTGTAAACCACTGCTGCATTTTCTTTTCTTATTTTCTCTTCTTGTTGTTATCTTTGGTTTTACCTTGAAAACCTTATGATGGGACAGTCGAGAATGAAACGTGAGATAGTGCTGAAAGATGGGACTACCAGGTCAGACAGCACTAAAACTGTTACTGGGGAAGAGCAGAGAACAAGCATGAATAGTGGTGTTGTTAATGATGCAACTAGACCAAAGCTGAGGACATCTAGAGGCTGATGTGCACAGGGCTCAGTGGAAAGCGCGACGCTGCACAACACAGCACATGCAGTCAGAACATGGAACGTGAGAAGCGTGAACCAAGGCAAACCGGAAATAGTAAAGCAAGGAAAGGAGCATCTGAACATTGCAGTGCTTGGTGTCCATGAACTGAAATGGACTGGAGTGAGACATTTCTCGTCAGGCAGCTACCAAGTGTTCCACTCTGGAAATGACAAACAAAAAAGAAACGGAGTGGCTTTAATACTGAGGCAGGATGTAGTACAGGCAATTAGGGGCTACAATGTAATTTCTGACAGATTCATATCAGTCATACTTCTAGGAAAACCTATTAACATAACCATCATTCAGGTCTATGTTCCAAATACAGAGACTCAAAAAGATGAAAGCTTTTATGCAAGTATCCAAGACTAAAACTGATTACACAGCAGAATAAGACATGCTGGTAATTATAGGTGACTGGATGCAGAAGTAGGAAATAAAGCAGAATCAAGTGTCATTGGAAAACTTATGCTAGAGGTCAGAAAGCAGGAGATTGGTACATGGGTTTCTACGAAGCCAACAGCTTATTCATCATAAACACGGGCTTCAAACAACCGAACAGACGACTGTGCACATGAACGTCACCAGATGGCCAGTAGAGAAATCCAGTAGACTGTGTAATTGGATGCAGGAGATGGAGAAGCTGTGTTCTCTCTGCCAGAACAAGACTAGGAACAGACTGGGGTACTGACCATGAACTGTTACCATCAAACATTAAGATAAAGCTGAAGATGAGCATTAAAAGCATTGTAGTGCCAACATATAATGTAAATAAATTCCTGATTAATTTAAAGTCCACATAAAAAAAACAGATTTGCACTGTTAAACTTAACTGGCTGAGAACAAGAAGAACTGTAGACTGAAACTAGAAATATTAGAAAAGAATGTGAAAAGACAATGCTGGAAGTAAAAAGGAAAGAAAAATTGAGATGAATAACAAAAGGAACACTAAAAATGGTTAGAGACAGCTGAGGGGCAAAAGTAAAAGGTGACAAAATCAGGCTTAGAATCCTGAACTATCATGCAGAGATAAAGAAAACTATACAATTGTCAATATAAGAAAATAGACGAGAACAAAAAAAGGAAAAACAAGAGACCACTACCCGAAGAAATAAAAGGGAAATTCATACTTAGATTAGGAATGCTAAATGACCAACAAGGAAGTACCTTATCTGACCAGGAGAAAATAAAGGGAAGGTGGAAACGGTATTGTGAAAATCTGTACAGAAGAGACAAAAGGATGACTGATACCTTTGAACAAGTTTCCTTTGAGGAAGAACCTGTAATTCTAGAAAATGAGGTGAAAGCTGCCCTGAAAGTATTGGGAAGAAACAACTCACTAGAGTAGCTGGGATAACGATAGATTTATTTCAAGCCATAGAGAATGAATTGTCAAAATCCTAACAAGAATATGTCAACAAATACGCAAGACAAAACGATGGCTTACAGACTGGAAACATTCAATATACATCCCAATCTTCAGGAGAGGAGATGCCAAGGAGGGTGGTACCCATAGGACCATGGCTCTGATTTCCCACGCAGTAGAGTGATGCTCAAGGTGATGCAACAAAGACTTCTACCATTCTTGAATATCCACAAAAGGGGGAAATTCTGCAGCCACTACAGAAAAGGAGGCGGTCGACCTTTGTGGTTTGTTTTGGAAAGATCTCCCGGGCACAATCAAAGAAAGAAGCAGGTTCAGAATAGAGTGTATGATATTCTGTGTTTGACAGAGACAGAGACAGAGGCTCTGTGTGTGAACTATAAGTGAATTTCTGTTTCTGGGAGAGCCCGAAAATGAGGATTCGATATGACATGCATACTGTGGAACTGATTTAGCACAAAATATTTACTAGATAGTCAAGAAGGGGATAGCTGTTTGCATTGTAGAAGGGACTGTATAGTTTAGGTATAGGACTGGAAAAGAATTGATACTTTTTGGATTTATATTATTTTCTATATTACATACTAAAAACAATTTGTTTTAAATTAGCTGTTGCTATTGTCTAGCAAAATATGATTCTGAAATAGGGAATGTAAGGCTATGATATATTTCTCATTAAAGATTTTGTATATTCATGAAAAAAATAGGCATACTATATAAGGAATTTTTTCTCAATATTAGGGTGTTTTGGGGGGGCTGTATACTATAACTGGTTACTATATATGTTAACTGTTATTAATGACACAGGTAGTTGAAAATTAGAAAATATGTCATTGATTACTTCTGGAAGCAAAATAAGGATGCTTTCTATTTAGAAAAAGTTTATGTTTGTAAGACATTCTACAATTCTGATTATTAGTTTTATATATAGAAAAGATATGACACAAAAATGTGATTAACAAATACATGACATTAATATTAGTTCTTAGTAAGAGTTTAGTCCCTTTGTGCTCATGGTAAATAGAAGCAATATCTCTTTATGATATAATGTAACTTACCTTTACCAACATACATGTTAATACAGAGAGAACTGAATTTACATTTGTTTTTCTGAATTATGAGAACATTATTAAAACTTTTACCTTAAATTGTTATATTTTTCATTGGAATTTTTGTGTTTAAGAATTCAAGGAAATGGTAAATTGTTGATTTATGAGAATATCTAATTAAAAGTTCTGCTAAGAAGTTTTGCTGTCTTTAAGGAACTTTGCAAATATCTTAACATATTTCTTTCTATTTGTACGTATTTCTAATATTTTCTACCCCCAATAATGGTGTGCTTTATTTAATATAAGCTTAGAACTTCGACCTGTTCCTGTCCTTCAACTACTCACTTATTTGAAGCATCTAATAATATTGTATAAAAACATTTGACTGCAGTGAAAGGATGGAACCTTAAATAACTAATCAATTTGAAATCAATTTGACAGAAGATAGGCTTGAGACATATAGAACGTGCCACTTTTCCTAATAGGATATTATGACTCAATCTCAGTTTGGAGCCTCTAAGTCAGCAGCGTCCAAAATGGGGTACACAAACCTATCTGTTTCGATATGCTAAGAATATTAGAAATTTTGCAATATATATCTTGGTAGTAGTACATGATTTTAAAAGTTTGGAAACCACTGATATTTAGGTAATTTATTTTGGGGGGTACCAAAAAAAGTAGCAATAGGGACCAAGGGATGAAGCATTTATAACTCTTAATCATACCTGTTAAACTTGGAATGCAAACTCAAACATTGTTTTCCTTTAATAATTTGCATAAACCTTGATGGATAATGTTGAGACATAGATGTATTTATAGTATTCCAAGGGTATTTATCCAAATTGGTTTAACATCTCTTTCTTTCATTTGAATATTTGTACTAAGCTTGTATACCATGGATGAATATTTCATAGTCTAACACTTTCTGTTAGATCTTTTGCCAGCTGAAAATGTAGATACTATCAACACCAAAGCCATGTCCTTCCCTTTCCATTAATTGTAATTTCAGGCCATTACACATTGGGTAGCTTTCCTCATTCTCCATTGTACAAACATTTCTTTCTGATTGCTATGTGGTGCATGGTACCAAAGAGATGCCATTTTCCCCTGTGTACTTCTTCCATGGACCTAATACGTAGCGGTGTGTGTCGAATGAGAGACCAGCAAATGATAATGGCTATAATTTATGAATTGATTACTATAATTTATGAATATTCATGTTTTTATCTTAGATATTCAAGATTAAAGCAGTCCAATTGGCTGAGAAACTCCTTCCTGCCTTTAACACACCTACTGGGATTCCCTGGGCAATGGTGAATCTTAAAAGGTAAATTCTACTTTTATGTGGTTGTTCCTATTCGAAAATAATTAGAATTAACTGATTTTTTGGACCTACTTAGTCTTAGAAATTTCTGATGATCTGCCCCCACCACAAAGTACTTACACAGTTATGATCTTTCTGCTGATTTCACCCCTTTATCATTATGATGTGTCCCTCTTTATCTCTGATAATATTTTTGTCTTGAAGTTTGTTTTCTCAGATGTTAATACAGCTATTCCACCCTTCTTATGCTTACTATTTTCATGGTATATCTATTTCTACTCGTTTATTTTCAACCTAACTGTATCGTTTAATTATAGTCCTTTTTGTTGGAGGCAGCCTATAGTTGGATCTTGCCAGTCTGACAATCTCTGCCTTTTAGTCCATTGAAATGTAATTATTGTTGCAGTCTGATTTAAGTTCTCTTCCTTCATTTCTTTTCATCTAACTTCTTTTGAATTGATGAATATATTTTAGTTTATGTATTAGGATTTATATTTATTTATCAGCCTTTTTAAGTGTTGTTATAGGAATTGCACTGTAAATAATTAATTTTTCAGTTAGCAGAATTAATATTGTACCACGTTATGTGAAGTATAAGAACATTTCAACCATACCTGTCCATTTACTCGCTCCCTCCCATCGTTTATATGCTATAGTTGTCAATTCAATTACATCAAATATGTTATAAATCTCAGAATACAGTGTTAAAATATTAGTTTTAAGCACACCTGTTTACTTGATAGAATTGAGGGGAATAATAGTCTAATATTTACCTAGGGGAAAACTAGTCTATTAATTACCCTAATATTTACCAGCCAGTATATCTAGTTTTTTCCGTTTCTCTTAGAAGATCTGAGTTTTAATCTGGCGTCATGTCACTTGAGCCCGAAGAACTTTATGTAGTATTTCTTATAGTGCTCATCTGTAGGGGTAAATTCTTACTATTTTTCTTCGTTTGAAAAAGTCTTGGCATCCATTCTTAAAGGATATTTTTAGTGTATGTCAAATTTCTGATTGATGGGTTTTTTTCTCTTTGTATACTTTAAAGATGTTTCTCTCTTCTCTGGTTTCCATGGTTGCTGATAAGTCAGAATTTGAATGATTGTTGTCCAATTTTGTTCCTTCTGTATCCCGCTCAATCTTTGCTGATGAGCTTGTGAAATTGGAATATGTCTTTCCCTAAATATAATGGTAAAATTTTGGTCATTATTTCTTCAGATGTCTTTTCTGCCCCATTCTTTCTTTGCCTTCGCCTGAAATTCCAATTACTTGTATTTTAGAGTTTTTATTACTGTCCCACAGGACCCTGAAGCTCTTGTTTTTATTTTTCAATCTTTTTTGTGTGTGTGTTCTTCAGATCGAATAATTTCCATTGATCTCTCTTCATATTCAGGGTTTCCTTTGTTGCTCTAATCTGCTTTTAAGCCCATCCAGTGAAAAATTTTTTTTCGGTTTCTGATATTCTCTTATTTATTTATTTATTTTAATTAGAATTTATTGGGGTGACAATGGTTAGCAAAATTATGCTAAGCAAAATAAGTCAGAAAGTCGAGAACCAAATGATTTCACTGATATGTGGGATATAAAACTGAAAACTACAAAGGAAGACAAAGAAATGAAGAAACAAAAGATCATAGACACAGACAATAGTTTAGTGGTTACCAGAGGGTAAGGGGTAGGGTGGTGGGAGAAGAGGGTAAAGGGGACTGAATATATGGTGATGGCAGGAGAACTGACTCTGGGTGGTGAACACACAATGTGATACATAGAAGATGCATTACAGAACCGCACACTTGAATTTTTTAGAATCTTGATTAGATGTTTTTTCATTCTGATTCTCTGCAGATATTTCCTATCTTTTCATTCACTGTGAACATATTTCCCTGTATTCCATCAAACATAGTTAGAATAGCTGTTCCAAAATCTTTGCATATCTAACATCTGGATCATCTTGGAGTTGGCTTCAGTTGATTATCTTTTCACTTGAGGCTGGGTAACATTTTGAATGTACACTGGACGTTCTGAAAGTTTTGTTGTGTAGACTCTGGATTCTGTTTTATTTTTCTTAGGTGTGTGTGTGTGTGTGTGTGTGTGTGTGTGTGTGTGTGTGAGAGAGAGAGAGAGAGAGAGAGAGAGAGAGAGAGAGAGAGAGAGAGAGACATTAAGTAATCACATAACTTAGTTGGAATCAAACTTCAGACTGTCTCAATTCATTTCTTTATCTTTAACCGGGTTGCTTTGAGTCTGTTTTCAAGCATTCATGATTCATAGGGCAGCCAGGGACACAGAGAGTTCATACCAGAATTAGGCGCTTCCCCTCTCTGGCTCTCTCCTCCCAGGATGCCACCTCCCTTTTTCCAGCAGCTGTAATTGCTGTAAAACACTGGCTTCCGATTCTTTAATACAGGAAAACTGCAAGTTTTCTATCAGGTTTTAGTTCTTTTGCCTAGTATGATGGCATTTGTCTTTGGACTAAACACTATTAAAAAATGGGAAACTGACCCCATGTTGGCCTGTTTTTCCAGGTTTACACTGTCCTCAGAATCTTCCAGCTTTTGTTCATTCTTCAATGACTTTAGGTCATTGTCATTTTGTATTTTGTCCAGAATTTATAATTTTTTTCTGCAGGAGAGACTAATTTGGTCATTAAAAGATTTCAGGGTCATGCAAGCAGAAATTAGAAAAAATTTGTTAGATTTATTCTTAGATTCTTGATTTTTAAAAATGCTATGATAAATGGCATTTTTAAAAATTGTTATCTTCTGCTTAAACATAGAATGCAATTGTTTTTGAAACTTATTTTGAATTCAGCAATCTTGCTGAATTTGAATTTTCCTGTAAATATCAATAATTTATCTGAGATTATTTTGTATTTTCTTTATAAATAATCATGTCAACTGTGAATAAGGACAGTTTTGTTTCATACCCCCCTTTCCTGTACTGGCTAGGACTTACAGTACAATATTGAATGGAAATGGTGATCAAGGACATTTTTTTTTTAAATTTTATTATTAGTTTCAGGTGTACAGAATAATGCAGTAGTTATATTTTTTACCCCTCACAAAGTAACAACCCCTTCTCCCCCATCCACTGCCCTCCCACCCCCGATGTCATACTTATCTATTACAATTCCATTGACTCCATTCCCACACTCTACTCCACATCCCGTGACTATATGTATATATAATTGTAGTTGATATACAGTATTATTCAACATCAGCTTCAGAAATGCAGTGCAGTGGTCAGGCCTCTACACTGTCTATGCAGTGGTCTCCTTGACCCGCATGAGTTCAACTGGCCCCCTGAAAAATATTTACAACATTATTGATTGTATTCCCCAGACTGTCTTTTCTATCCCTGAGGCCATATTGTAATTACCAATTTGTATTGTCTCATCCCTTCCCCTTCTCCTTCATCCCTACCCCCTCCCAACTAAGGACATCCTTGTCTCAATAGAAAGTGAGTTTTTTACCATGATGTTAGCTGTAGGTTTTTTGTAGAGAACTCTTACTAGTTTAAGGCGGTTCTATTTATTTCTAATATTTTAAGTTTTTTTTAAATCCTGTATTATTGGATTTTTTCAAGCAATTTTTTGTAGTTTTTGAAATGTTAAGAATTCTTTTCTTAAAACTTTTCATTGCAGTCATTTATATTTTTTTTCCAATGAGAAACTATTATTATATTCAAGGAATAAACCCAATTTGATCATGATAAATTCTACTATTTTCTTTATATGTTGCCAGATTTTGTTTGCTGATATTTTCTTTAGGACCTTTGCATCTTTTTTTTTTTGCATATGATATTGGTCTGTACTTTTTCTCTTAATATTCTCGTCCAGTTTTGACATCAAGGTTGTGCTTCTCTTATAAAACATATTAGGTAATGTTCTTTCTTTCTCTCTCCTCTGGAAGCATTTGTATAAGATTTTTTTTTATTTTTTTATCCTCAGCTGCTTGGTAGAAACTTCTGGTAAAGTCACATGGGTCTGGAATTTTGAGAAAGTTTTAAACTCATGATTTAATGTATTTTATCACTTAAAGTACATTAGATAATTTGCTTTCTATTTATTTTTAAGTAAAATTTAATGTTATACTCCTAGGACTCAGTTCATCTGACATAATATAAGAATCATATCCTTGTATTTGTTTACTCTCTGTATCATATGTTATATATTTTCCTTTTTATACTAATATACACTCAGTAAAGAATGGCATTCAATTAATTTTTTTTCTACACAACCCTAAGCAAGATACTGTCGATATTCTGGGTGAATAATGCACACTTTCAAAGGACCACCAGGGATACATGACTGTGATAGTTAGTGGAGTGGCACATGGCAGGTACCCAAATAATATGTTATAAAGTAGAGGGCGTCAACATGGTACGTAGTCAAGAAGATTACGGAGCTTTCACAGAGCACTTTAACTTGCTTTTGTAGAGGAGTAAGATATTAACAGGTGATACCGATGGGGTAGAGCATCGTGAGTGGAGGAAATAACCAAAAAGACATGTGCAGATGAGAAAATACAGGAGAGAAACTTGGAATTTTAGAGAAATGGCTGGTGGTGAAAAGTGGGGAACCAGTATATATGAACCTCCAAATGCCTCAGCTAATCCTTTATGTAAGGAGATTTATGAAAGGGCAAAAGTGCCATTTCTGTGAAGAGGCTTAACCTTTAACTGGAAGGTTCGCCTTGGAGTTACTGAGATAAATTTCATTACCAGGATACTGAAAGAAGATTTGGAGAGTGTATTTGAAATTCTTTTCTCTAAAAAAGTAGCAAGACATATAGGCATAAATAGAGAAGGTCCTCGTCATCACTGATACCCCCTAATTTGGTGAGTTAACTCGTGGGACAAACTAGAAGCCCTTTTCTTGAAATTCTCTCGCTATGTGCATGTATAATACATCCATCCAGCAGAACCATGCCTGTTTTGTTCACCATCATATACTTAGCACTTAACATGGTGAATGCATGCAGGTAACACTTATCCCAGATAAA